CACGTCTTTGTGGACTTCAAGAAAGCATTTGACAGGGTGTGGCATGCTGCTTTATGGGCCACCATGAGGCACTACAACATCAACACAAACCTAACCAGCATGATATGCAACCTCTAATGATAAGGCCACCAATGCAGTCTTCCTCAAAAACAAAATCGGAGAATGCTTCAAGACCACTGTAGGAGAACGACAAGGCTGCCTGCTCTCCCCCACCCTGTTCAACATCTTCCTAGAGAGAATTATGTCAGATGCTCTGGAAGCGTATGAAGGTACAGTCAGCATTGGTGGCAGAACAATCATCAACCTTCGCTTTGCGGACGAATTAGAAGGACTGTCTTGGAACAAAGAAGAGCTAATCAACCTGGTAAAACGTCTCGATAAGACCTCGTCGACCTACGGCATGCTAATCAGTGCCGAAAAGGCAAAACTGATGACAAATAATACCTAAAACATCACCACTGAAATTAAGGTCGGAGAGTAAAGATTAGATACTGTAGGCCTCTTCAATTACTTGGGAGCAATAGTCTCAGAAGAAGGTGCCAAGCACGAAGTGATGTCCACGATGGCGCAGACTACAACAGCACTAAAGAAACTCAAGAAAATATGGAATGACACAAATATAGCCCCAGCACCAAAATCAGGCTGATACGCTCATTATTCCTCTCCATTTTCCTGTATGCCTGCGAATCTTGGACATTAACAGCCGATCTTGAAAGGAAAAAAAAAGGCGTTGGAGATGAGATGCTTTAGAAGATTGTTTGGCATCTGCTATAAGGACCACATCTCCCATGATATAGTGAAAGAAAGGGTTCGTCAGGCAATTGGAGAGTACGATGACCTACTAGTGACTGTGAACAAAACGCAAACTACAATGGTACGATCACGTAACAAGGAACAAGGGATTGCCAAAGAAATATTGCAGGGCACAACAAGAGGAGGGAGAAGAAGAGGAAGACAAAGAAAAGGATGGGAGGATAACATCAAAGAGTGGCCTGGATTAACCCTGGGCGATGCAGATCTTAGTGCAGAAGACAGAGACGAATGGATGAGGATGGTTCACTTGTCATCTGTGGCGCCTCAACGGTCCAACGACTAAGGGACATGATGATGATGATAAGAAACATTGAGTTCCTCTTGATTTTGAAATAATCCAACGTTTTCTGTGACGCACGCTCCACAGAACCCTCCACCTATAAACATTTTTGGCACCGTCAATTTCCGGCCTACATCCCGGTGAAATGCCAAGTTTTGGTTCTAATGAATAGACTGCCTAGTGGCAGAGCTGATGGTAGTGATACCGGTTCTAATGAATAGACTGCCTAGTGGCGTAGCTGATGTTAGTGATGCTGGTTGCAATGAATAGACTGCCTAGTGGCGGAGCTGATGTTAGTGATGCCGGTTCTAATGAATAGACTGCCTAGTGGCCTAGCTGATGTTAGTGATGCCATGGATGATAAAAGATGTATGCCGCTCTCCGTGTCACGATACAAACTCTGTCTGTAAATGTGATACCTTGGGGGATCACTCCAACCACCCTTTTTCTACCTAGACCTCTAGCAGTTGTGTATTTACAGTGTTTAGCGTCAAGGGACAAGATTTCTTTTGCAACCCTCCCCCCCCCCTCAACTCTGAAGCCCATTATTTTCAACCAATAATTTTCCTTCAAAGCCCACTGGCAAGCTCCTGATGATCTGGCGCCCCAGGAAGTATGTCCCATCTTCCTCCTTTTAGCTACGCCTCTGGCCGCTGCCCACAGGGACTCCCCCCCACCTCCCGAAAATATGAAATGCGCCCACCCCAGGTGGAAATGTCTGTTGGGACAGTAAAGACACACATACTTTTCTTAACATCCATTTGCTTCCAAACTCGGAAAAAATGGAGTTACTTCTAATCTCCAAATATGTAGTTGATAATATTTATATTCGTTTTTAGCTGTCATCGTTTTTATCATCACGACAGTCGCCAATGAATCTCCTCTGACAGTCTACTCGGCGGCCATGAAACTTGGATTTCGCCAGCACATCCAGCAGCAGTGCGCCCCTTCTCACTGTGTGGGTTCTTTCGTCATCTATCTCAACAGTCCGGCCTTAAATGACGGATCAATGCTGCTTTGGGATGTCAATCAAAATGTACCGTAGTTCTCTGTCTCTTTATGTCTCTATATAAATAAACACCGACATCTTGGAGTACAGACATAAATGATAGATGTACCAAGCGGGTGACTAGGAATTCTGTTTATGCAGGAAATTTAAAAAAATAATAGGATTGAATTACACTTTTAGAAAAGACGGTGGTGACATAAATGATATAATATGGAACTTTCTAATTTGTCAGCATCATATCAGGGGATTTTATTTGAAATGTATTTAACATTTGAGTCGTTGTGTGTTTGTAGCGTGTTGTTTGTTCGTAGCGTGTTGTGTGTTTGTAGCGTGTTGTGTGTTTGTAGCGTGTTGTGTGTTTGTAGCGTGTTGTTTGTTTGTAGCGTGTTGTTTGTTTGTAGCGTGTTGTGTGTTTGTAGCGTGTTGTGTGTTTGTAGCGTGTTGTGTGTTTGTAGCGTGTTGTGTGTTTGTAGCGTGTTGTTTGTTTGTAGCGTGTTGTGTGTTTGTAGCGTGTTGTGTGTTTGTAGCGTGTTGTGTGTTTGTAGCGTGTTGTGTGTTTGTAGCGTGTTGTGTGTTTGTAGCGTGTTGTGTGTTTGTAGCGTGTTGTNCAAACAGTGGTGTCCGGTATTAAAATGCTCTTATACATTTCCCTGTACCCAAACAGTGGTGTCCGGTATTAAAATGCTCTTATACATTTCCCTGTACCCAAACAGTGGTGTCCGGTATTAAAATGCTCTTATACATTTCCCTGTACCCAAACAGTGGTGTCCGGTATTAAAATGCTCTTATACATTTCCCTGTACCCAAACAGTGGTGTCCGGTATTAAAATGCTCTTATACATTTCCCTGTACCCAAACAGTGGTGTCCGGTATTAAAATGCTCTTATACATTTCCCTGTACCCAAACAGTGGTGTCCGGTATTAAAATGCTCTTATACATTTCCCTGTACCCAAACAGTGGTGTCCGGTATTAAAATGCTCTTATACATTTCCCTGTACCCAAACAGTGGTGTCCGGTATTAAAATGCTCTTATACATTTCCCTGTACCCAAACAGTGGTGTCCGGTATTAAAATGCTCTTATACATTTCCCTGTACCCAAACAGTGGTGTCCGGTATTAAAATGCTCTTATACATTTCCCTGTACCCAAACAGTGGTGTCCGGTATTAAAATGCTCTTATACATTTCCCTGTACCCAAACAGTGGTGTCCGGTATTAAAATGCTCTTATACATTTCCCTGTACCCAAACAGTGGTGTCCGGTATTAAAATGCTCTTATACATTTCCCTGTACCCAAACAGTGGTGTCCGGTATTAAAATGCTCTTATACATTTCCCTGTACCCAAACAGTGGTGTCCGGTATTAAAATGCTCTTATACATTTCCCTGTACCCAAACAGTGGTGTCCGGTATTAAAATGCTCTTATACATTTCCCTGTACCCAAACAGTGGTGTCCGGTATTAAAATGCTCTTATACATTTCCCTGTACCCAAACAGTGGTGTCCGGTATTAAAATGCTCTTATACATTTCCCTGTACCCAAACAGTGGTGTCCGGTATTAAAATGCTCTTATACATTTCCCTGTACCCAAACAGTGGTGTCCGGTATTAAAATGCTCTTATACATTTCCCTGTACCCAAACAGTGGTGTCCGGTATTAAAATGCTCTTATACATTTCCCTGTACCCAAACAGTGGTGTCCGGTATTAAAATGCTCTTATACATTTCCCTGTACCCAAACAGTGGTGTCCGGTATTAAAATGCTCTTATACATTTCCCTGTACCCAAACAGTGGTGTCCGGTATTAAAATGCTCTTATACATTTCCCTGTACCCAAACAGTGGTGTCCGGTATTAAAATGCTCTTATACATTTCCCTGTACCCAAACAGTGGTGTCCGGTATTAAAATGCTCTTATACATTTCCCTGTACCCAAACAGTGGTGTCCGGTATTAAAATGCTCTTATACATTTCCCTGTACCCAAACAGTGGTGTCCGGTATTAAAATGCTCTTATACATTTCCCTGTACCCAAACAGTGGTGTCCGGTATTAAAATGCTCTTATACATTTCCCTGTACCCGATTAGTGGTGTCCGGTATTAAATGTTTTCATAAATTTCCCTGTACCCAAACAGTGGTGTCCCGGTATTAAAATGTCCCCATTAATTTCCCTGTACCCAAACAACCGTTGGAAGATTTTGACAAAATTTTCCAGTCGCACTTCACGGATGGAAAATCTGGCCTGAATTCACGTGGTGCTCCAGAGAGCGTTGTCCGAATATTCCCAGGATCTTTTACTAAAGAAAAAATGTTGGAACGATTAGAAAAGCTCTTTATTTATAGAGTTGTTTAAAATGCTGCCGTGACCTATGCAATTACTTACAAGCAGCTATTATACCCATGTTTGTGTCCGTACATTTATAATGAATCAAATTTATTTTCAATGCCTGATGTTTAGAATATCCTGAAGTAAATGTTTAAAAAAATCAGAACGTAGAGAAAATAGGATTTAAAAAAAAAATAATTCAAAGTAATATAACTCAACACATAATGGTTCTATAAATTAATGTTTCAAATGTATTTTTTTTAAAAATTCTAGCAACATAAAAATAAGCGAAATTTCCATTTTATTTAACATGTATAACCATCTTGAAGCAGCTTAAATACAATTCAGTTATTCTTATAGCGAGAGATCTGGAGATGGAAGTAGATTACTATACGGAGAACTGCTTCTATTCCTTTAGCTTTAATCCACCATTGCAATATGGCGACGGTCTGCATTTTGTCATATTTTTTTAAATAGCAAGTGATATATTTATATCGGTCAACAAAAAAAAAAATTAACAACATATAACAAAAATAAGTGCTGTGGTCAGTGTCATCTCAGCATCTGAATTCCTTTAGTGCAGTTCAATCTCATCTTGCAAGGTCAAGTCGAGCTCGCAAGAGCAAGAGGATTTAACCCGGATGTAGTCTAGCCGGAAGTTCTCCGACACGTTAAAGAATCTCACAAAGGCGTACACGTAGCTGAACCTTTGCACACATCGCGACGCAGGTTGATATTCGTGTTTGATGTAGTGACAAGGTTGATCCCGGACATCGTCTTTGCAAGCCGTCTGGTAGAATTTTTGCATGGTGCGTTCATCTCGGTAGATTTCCAGCAGCCACCCGCCTCGTGAGATGCCTGCACGAGGGTGGATGTAGTGAGTTTCTGAGGGGCAGCATTCCATGCGGACAGGTACGTTTACCGTTGCTTCCGTTCCATTGGAAACATTAAACAACTCCCTGGAAAGAAAATTATAAAAAAAACTTTTTCAGACATCATTTATAACTTAGGATTTCCAGCATTTTCAGACCTTCCTATTCACTTTTGTGTCATTTTATTTTTTGGCAAACCAAAAATATATGTGTTAACTTAGACCCAGTCTTAATGTTCAACGCAGCGCCATTAAGATCTAATCTTATTGTTGAACACCGCGCCAAACAGACCTAGTCTTAATGTTCAGTGCAACACCATTGAGACCCAGTTTGAATGTTCAACGTCGCGCCATTTAGTTCCAAGATTAACTTTCAACGCTACGCCATTTAGACCCAATCTTAATGTTCAACGCCACGCAAATTAGACCAAGTCTTAAAGTTCAAAGCTGCGCCATTTAGATCCAGTTTTAACTGTTAACGCAACGCCATTTAGACGCAAAATTAAAGTTCAACGCAATGCCAATTAGACCCAGTCTTAACTTTAAATGCCATGCCCTTTAGACCCAGTCTTAACTTTAAATGCCACGCCTTTTAGACCCAATCCTAACTTTAAACGCCACGCCATTTAGACCCAGTCTTAACTTTAAACGCCACGCCATTTAGACCCAGTCTTAACTTTAAACGCCACGCCTTTTAGACCCAGTCTTAACTTTAAACGCCACGCCTTTTAGACCCAGTCTTAACTTTAAACGCCACGCCATTTAGACCCAGTCTTAACTTTAAACGCCACGCCTTTTAGACCCAGTCTTAACTTTAAACGCCACGCCTTTTAGACCCAGTCTTAACTTTAAACGCCACGCCTTTTAGACCCAATCCTAACTTTAAACGCCACGCCTTTTAGACCCAGTCTTAACTTTAAACGCCACGCCTTTTAGACCCAGTCTTAACTTTAAACGCCACGCCTTTTAGACCCAAATTTCATGCTCAACGCCGTGCCTTTTTTACCCAATCTTAATATTCAAAGCGCCTTAAAATTTAGAATTAGTCTAAATGTTCAAACAATGCTCCAACTTAAAGCCCGACAGAAATTTCAATGCTGCGCAATTTAGACCCAACTGAATGTTCAACGCCCCGCCATTTATACCCACACTTTATGTTAAACTCAGCACCATTTAGTCCCAGACTTAATGTTAATCGCCGTGCCATTAAGACTAAGTCTTAATGTTCCATGCAGCGCAATTTAAACCCAATATGAATATTCAAAGACGCGCCATTAAAACCCAGTCTAAATGTTCAACGCCGCGAAAATTAGACCCAATCTCAATGTTCAATGCCACTCCAACTTTGACTCCGACTGAATGCTCAATGCCACTCCAACTTAGACTCCGACTGAATGCTCAATGCCACTCCAACTTAGACTCTGACTGAATGCTCAATACCATTCCAACTTAGACTCCGACTGAATGCTCAATGCCACTCCGACTTAGACTCCGACCGAATGCTCAATGCCACTCCAACTTAGACTCCGACTGAATGCTCAATTCCACTCCAACTTAGACACGGACTGAATGCTCAATGCTGCGCTTTTTAGAACAAATAGGAATTTTTAACCCCACGCCATTTAGACGTACCTCTTATTTTTAACCCCACGCTATTTACACGTACCTGTTATGTTTAACTCAGCACCATTTAGACTCATCTGTTATGTTTAACTCATCACCATTTAGACGTGCCTCTTATGTTTAAACCCGAACCATTTAGACGTACCTCTTATGTTTAACCCCGCGCCATTTAGACGTACCTCTTATGTTTAACTCAGCACCA